CTTCAAGCTGACCAGCAAATGGTTTTACTCTATTTCATGAGCCATCATTAGACGGATACCCTAACATTAAAAATTGGAGAGGGTCTGTAGTACACCCAGTAGAAATGCAAAGCTGGTACAGTCGTCGACACACAATGAACTCTAGGCAGTAGACTACCGCAAACGTGCATGTTTCAGTCCTACCCTTATCGTTGAAAGTTTGCAACATCCCATGACCATTTCTGCTTCAAGCTGACCAGCAAAATGGCTTTACTCTATTTCATGAGCCATCATTAGACGGATACCCTAACATTAAAAATGGGAGAGGGTCTGTAGTACACCCAGTAGAAGACGACCGTTGAAATGCAAAGCTGGTACAGTCGTCGACACACAATGAACTCTAGGCAGTAGACTACCGCAAACGGGCATGTTTCAGTCCTACCCTTATCGTTGAAAGTTTGCAACATCCCATGACCATTTCTGCTTCAAGCTGACCAGCAAAATGGCTTTACTCTATTTCATGAGCCATCATTAGACGGATACCCTAACATTAAAAATTGGAGAGGGTCTGTAGTACACCCTGTAGAAATGCAAAGCTGGTACAGTCGTCGACACACAATGAACTCTAGGCAGTAGACTACCGCAAACGGGCATGTTTCAGTCCTACCCTTATCGTTGAAAGTTTGCAACATCCCATGACCATTTCTGCTTCAAGCTGACCAGCAAAATGGCTTTACTCTATTTCATGAGCCATCATTAGACGGATACCGTAACATTAAAAATGGGAGAGGGTCTGTAGTACACCCAGTAGAAGACGACCGTTGAAATGCAAAGCTGGTACAGTCGTCGACACACAATAAACTCTAGGCAGTAGACTACCGCAAACGGGCATGTTTCAGTCCTACCCCTATCGTTGAAAGTTTGCAACATCCCACGACCATTTCTGCTTCAAGCTGACCAGCAAAATGGCTTTACCCTATTTTCATGAGCCATCTTTAGACGGATACCCTAGCATTGGAGGGATTTTGGGCCTTGATTGTGTTGAAACAACCGTTCTTACTGCCTCCTGTACCATAGCCTACGGCTAGCAGCCATGTTTGCGTTATACTCCGCCGTGTCCATCAGCAAGACTACGCGCTCGCAGTACCACCGCGCGCCGACACGCTTTGACTGGAAGAGAGAGAGAAAAGACAACTGGCATGACAATGAGACACCAGCGCCAACACAATGTGGCAAGACTACGGCGATACTCGTCCACTATACGGCAAGCCAAGGCATGCTAGTGAACTAATCCAATCCACCATCTTGTCGTTGAAATTGCTGTAGTCATGTCGGATGATTAGCCATGGAGATTTGTGCCATTAACGGTGAAGAAATTGAACTGCCGACGGTGTTGATTGAAAATGTAATGGATAAGTATTGAGCTAATGCTGATCACTTGTAAGTAGTGGAGTTTGGTCTGCAGCAGCAGAGTCAATCAAGTAGTATTGTCTGTAGGAAAAATGGCTTACAGGTATAGTAATTATGTCGAATATTTGGTGGAGGACAACGATGATAGGACGACTGGAGGTCAGCGATGAAGACGACGTCGAGTAGGAAGGAGGAGGAGGGCAAGAAAGACTAGTTTAGTCATTGGAAGAGCAGTCTTGGACTGGTACAGAAGGGATTGAGGAGGTCAATTCATTTTTTTCACTCAATCATGTCAACATCAGCTCGATCGATCGTCATGGAGAGAACTGAAATGGTTTGGACTAACTACAAACTAGCGTTGAGGACAAAAAGTTGTTTCTAGACAGTATTTAGCGTAGAAGACAAAAAATGATGGCTATATGGTCGTTAGCGTCAAAGACTAAACGCTACTTCTACACAGGTTTCAATCAGAAAGAGAGATTGGACGATCGTGCTTGCAATGACAAATTCGAACTTAAATGAGTGGAGATGGGTCATCTTTTCCAAGTCTGACTAATCTCTTGCTGTAGATCCTTACGATCCATGTCAACTGAAATGGCTTGTACTAACTAATGACTAGTGTAGAGGACAAAAACTTGTTTCTATACAGTAGTTAGCGTACAGGACAAAACGTTGCTTCTAGACAGTATTCAATGAGAAAGAGAGACTCAACGATCGTCGTTGCAATGACAAATTTCAACTTGAATGAGTGGAGAAGGGTAATCTTTTCCAAGTCGGACTAATCTCTTCCTTTTGATCCTTAGGAAAATGTTTTCAAAGAAGTTCTCAATTTTACCACTTGGCAAAATGTCTTAACGCAGCAAGAGAAACAGGATATGATGGTAACTGGCAAGAATAGACGTTAACATGACTTATTGCAATAACATTGATTTCTACTCCTTCCAATGACTTGATAGCAACTTTTACCTACTGCGGAGGAAGAGGACGAAGATCGTGAAGGCATAGTCAAGTAAATTCATCAGTCAATCGCTTCATTCTACGTGAGTCATACTACTGTATTCCTAAATAGAGTCCAATCGATTTTCATTTAGATCGTTACTTCAAGGAGAAAACTTTAAATTTGGCAATCCCGTACAAGAGTTCCAACATAAATTACGTGGTAAGATAGCTATTGACATGCAATCATCGTCAATCACTGAATTAAAGTGATTCGGACGAATACAACCTGATTTCATTCAATTCAAGAATAACATTTATTGCTCGTACTTGCCTAGCTGGCTATTATGCCCCCGAAGTACGAAAATATCATGTAATGTGCCAAAACGTAAAGAAAAAGGAGTTTGAGGTGAGAAAGAGAGTCAGCAAGAGTCCTGGTCGTACCACTTCTTTAAAAGCTGTCATATAATCAATCTGGTTGCTTGAAGCATTGCTCTGCAATGCAAGATCACATTTAGCGAAAGTAACATAGCCCATCACCTACTGTATTCATCAACACTTGGTCTGCAGTTTTATCGAGTAGTCAACCAACCAAAAGAATCGAGAATGTTGTACAGTTTTGATAATCACTAAAGTAGCTCATGATATAGGAATGGAAATAACGAAAATTATACCCGTTGTCACAGATGCGTTATCCTACTATTCTACAACGACTTACACCATTATAGTTCTAGTTTTACTTATTGCAAATAGTCCACGGTACCGTATGTAGATTGGAATGCCGTCATGGTCAAGATTCATTTTCCGAGTACCTTAAATACTTTGCATTGTCACCCTGACTGCCAAGACAAATTTTCTACCTTTTCCTCTACATCCGGAACCTAATTCATTCCATTTTATTCTTGATAGGAATATTTACGTAAATATTATAAAACGCTTCTGATCGATGCTTTAAAATCACGTCAAGTAAGTGATATAAACTTGTACAAGTGGATTGCCTGTATAAAGTTACTACATGGTATACTTTTGTCTACTACTGTACAAATTTGAATTGCGTTCACGACTACGTAAGTGTAGCATTCTTACATGCTTACAGTATCTAATCATGGCTTATTCTTTAACGTACAGCATCTTGTTCAACATGTGCGAAACTCAGCACCGGATGAACCTCTTAAAAAAAGGTATAAAACGATCATGAATATCTCCTGTGCATTTCTGATCAAAAATGGATGCGTGTGTAATTTGGACTAGCACGTAGTAACAAGCGTACGACACTAAAATTTATATACTTTCTCAACTCCAAATAATCATTGCACCCTTTATTGTAGGCGAAAGCAAAATCATATTGATAAAGTAATCTGTTCTAATCGCCTTAGTGCGACCGTACAGAAAAGATATAAAAGGTTTGTCTATTTTCATTTTTGGTCTATGAACCGATATCTCCAGCTTATACAAGTATTACATTGCAACACGTTACTATTTCGAGCAATGATTACAATATCCATTATCTAAGGCTTCTAATTGAAACGAATTAATCTCTTCTCTAGTATCCTAAGTGATTGCTTTAAAGAATGTAACGTAAGTTCCCTATTAAATCAAATATGTATTTAGCTCATTCTTTGTTGGGCTTACTTCAACGCCCTCCTGAATGTATCCAAATTTAGTCTTTGTAACCGAGAACCCAATTTCTTTCACTTTAGTTGAACGAAAGTGAATTTGATGATGACGATGTTACGCAAAATACATTCGGTACGGTACTTCAGTAATTATGGACGATACAGAGTTGTCAGGGATAGATCTCAATTTAATCTTTGGTCTCGTTATGTAGATGGTAATAATGAAAATAAAAATAGCAATCTCACAAATGGCAATGACCACATGGCACATGAACTCGATGCAACGTACAATCGTATGTTATACAAGCAAAAACGAAGAAATCGTCAAGAACCTGTAAGAAACTTGATTATCTTGTAAACTAGGATATTAACCAATAAATTGCGGCATGTTATCATTGACCCTTTACAGTATTTTAATTGGAACTAATCTTGTAATATCCAGGATAGGAGAAAGCCTACATCTTCAATAGCGGAAATATTTATGAGAACTTATCCGAGTTATAAAATTTACGAAATTAACGGTACTGATTACAACATTCATACTTATTGTCGGTAAAATGCAGTAATCGTTAAGATGATGGGCATAATCGACTTTAAATCCAATGGCGATCTAGGTATCCTACCGGTGAAAGAAAAAGTTATCAGAAAAAGGAAAAGCAAAAACTCATCGCTACATGCGAAGTAATTTAGCTTGCATTTCTAGTCATTGATCGAAACTGTCAAAGTCGTAATCCTATTTCAATTTACAGTGGCGAAGTCCAAGTTCCTAAAACTTGTTCAAACTATTTTGGCCTTATACGAAATATATTTAAAGGTCTTCCAGAAAGAAGAGGTTCCACTAAAACGGTAAAACATGAACTATTTTGCGGATATTCATCTAATTGCTGACAAATTTGGCGATTAACTGAATTTCGTGCTTTAATTGATCGCAAACTGATCTATGTCATAGATTGAAGAACGGATTGTTGCTTGGCAGGTACGACAATATTACATTTTTAGAATTATAGGCTTTACGTAACTCTAGCGCAAAGTTGTAATGTGCTGTTCCCTTCATCAATTTTAACAATTTTAATAACTCAATCTCACTGTTTCATCTGTTTCATCTCAGAAATCTGGTAAACGAATGGACGACAATGCTGACTGGGTAACTCAAGTAGATGATTGGTCGGAATTAGTTACTTCTGGTTTACGTTACCTGTCTGCCGATGCTGGATGTAAGCGACAGAAATAGTTCTATAAATATATTGCGATTGTAATCATTGTGTCATATTAAATACCTTAATGTAAGCTAACAACATTTTTAATTGAAGGACAGTATAGTCGATAAATTGCATTATAATTATCTATGCGACATGCCAATTCGCTATTGACGTTTAGTTGAGGCACATTGAAATGTGTTTCGTGCTAGTTATTTTGCTGCATACTTGATAAACTGCGGATAAGGCCCAAATTTATGTTCACGTGAAATACAGTATAAAGGTACTGTAATGGTTGAAGTATCATCGAGAGTTACCATACCATATAATACTTGGCATTGACATAATATAATATGGTAATAGTTGGTATTGCGCATATGGTATCGTGACAAATATCGATCTTATGCAGTGATGATACTGTAGGAATAGATATCGTAATCTAGTGTTAGTAACCCAGTATAGTAGCTTATAAATGCTACTTTATTTTAAACCAGAGGGATCGCTTATAATTCACTAGTATCGATAATCAAATACAAAAATTTAATATTCTACTTGCTCTATTATTAATTATCTTACTTTTTTATATCAAGTCAAACAATCCTTGATTAACAGCTTAAATTGTGAAATTTTTTTATTTGTAATAGCTGTTTCGTCAGTCGCTCCAATACCTGGCTTTGTACCATATGTGGATTTTCGAGAAAGAATGCAACAATGGAAATGGACAGGTCAAGATTGATGATATTAAAGACATTTTATTCATGTTCTGAAATATGTGCTCATAACGTACAGGTTCCAAACGAGATTCTGATGAAATATTAGAGCCTTTCTGTCAGCACTGGTTCGATACTCGAGACGACGAAATGGTATTACTGCTACTCAATTACAGTATTAATTTATTTATTTATTTGAAAGTAACCCCTTTCTTGGAAATACCGTATGATTGTTTTATTTTTTTGACGGAAGTACTAATTCATTGCAAATAATCATTTAGGAAACTGTTAATCCTCTTGCTAATCTTCCGTTACCCGGGAGGTGAGTTGCTTTGATGATGGTATATTAAACTGTATAATGATAACTAAATTACAATTTTATGTATCATTTTAGTCAAACAGAATATATTGTTAAACCAAGTTCAGATATTGATAAAGAAGCTTTTAGAAATCAGGTATTTATTAGCACTGCCGTTTACCACTGGCTACACGACCCTTGTGTATCTATTGATAAGTTCTTTCGTTGCCTATTTTTAAAAATTTAGGAGCAAGTTCGATATTCAAATCCTCACCGAGCATTTACCTATCGTATGCATGACTATGATTCCGTTGTTGGACCAGTGAAGGTTAGAAATTTTCTGCTTATAAAGCAACAATAGTCGCATTTGGTATTTCTATGTCGATCATCTTAAACAACCTTGGGGCATTAATGTATTATGGCAATCAATTTTACAGGGTATTTATGAAAAACAGATCTCAGCGTCTAGTAAAGCTAGAGAACATGCTCTCTTAAAACAGGATCGTCCACCGTTTGTTACCATACTGACTATAGGTTTGCTATATGCTTGTAAGGCTGTCACGGTTAACTAAATAGCGGTTCTATTTCTTTCTTGGATGTATAAAATGACTCCAATTTTACGCTTTAACAGCCCGTGATGCCGCAGCACGCTTGCCGAATGGAGAAGGAACCAGAGCTGATGTTAGTTGTTCATCGTGCATTGCTTAATTGTAAATAGAATAAACAAAACTATTCGTCTGGAACTTTATTTTTGCTTGCAGATTTGCGAGTTGCTAAAAGATTCTCAGTACCTTGTGGAATGCTCTGATAGCCAGGTTTCTTACTACTAATAGATTGTCTATTAAGCTATATTTGATGATAAAATTATAAATGCTTACATAATAGATATATCACCAGAAATACTTAGTATTTCTATATTAAAACGTAGATAAATTCCGTGGTTAGTGGTGCTTTGGATCGATTGCATTATGAGAAAGATCCATGTGTAAAATATGACAGTAGCAGAAAACTTTGGGTATATCTTCATAGAAATCGAACTGAAGAAGAGTTTGGTTTGTATATTAACGGAGTTACATCGAGTTCTAGCTTTATGTCCTTTATCTCCTTTTATTTAATTAATAATTAAAGATATTTTAGTAACGAGCCAATTTTCATCAAATGCTCTCCAGAACGTATACACAACACGCAGGCTGCAGCCTATCAAGCCAAAAAGGGAGTTACCAAATCCAAGGCACCAAAATTGCAGGTACTTTCGTGTCGTCATTACACATTTGACGGATTAACTTAATCTTAATAATCGCTGAGACTAAGAAAGCTGTTATTTCAAATCATGAAGTATAAATGCTCTTTTTGCACTACAGAAATCGACTGCGGATAAAAGCTTTTCCCTTCAGCCAAGAAATGAATTTACAGATGTGGACAACGTCAGTAAGGATGAAAATGCTTCTGATGCATCCAGCGATGAAAAGCTTTATGCTTCACCCATAAGTTCTCAGAAGAGTAGATCCATTGATGATCAACTCTCAGAAGATTTGGTAGTAAAATCTACTGCTAGCAGTGCGGGCACAAAAACTAAATTGATAATAAGTAACACTAAAACCTCAGAATCCTCTGTAAAATCGGAATTTCCAAGCGAGCAGAATTCTAGTCCATATGAAAATCATGACGAAACTGACCTACTGCCCGATGGATCGATTAGTTCTAAAGTATCAGAAAATGATAGCGATAGTTTATCAGATGCTGAAGATTATCTTGATGGAAGTGACGACGTTATGATGAGTCTCGATGATGAACAATTCTGAATTTTTTGTTTTAGTATCAATGATTATTTCTCGAATTTACTGTACATGTTATTCCATGCTATTTCGCACCTTAATTTACTATATGAAATGTAGAGTCTAATAGTTTAGCACTGTTTTATAATGATGCCTAGAAAATGTACAGCTAATTCAATCGGGGAAGAAAAGAGGTCAGCCGCAATGGAAAAGAAGGCTGCTAAATACAAAATTATATGTGCTGCTTTAAACTGTAATTACAGCTGTAAAAATGTAACTATGATTTGACCAAATAATCACCTCTGTTTCAAAAATAAAACTATTCATAAATTATCTTCGAATCTTACTATTTTATTCTTTTCTGATTAGTTGCAACTTTCAGATCCGAAAAGTTGCAACGCATAATAATCACGAAATCAATATGATACCATTAAAATGCGTTCTCGACTGACAATGGTCGGCAGATTACAGCAATAAGTTAGAGCTGGTGTAGGTAACAGACCGGTCAAATTTTACGCACCCAAAGATATTTTCATATATTGGTCGCATTAAATATTTCTTATTGAATAGCATATATGTTATGATGATTGCAACACTGAAAGGCTGAAACATACTAACAGTGAAGAAAAAGGAGGGACTCCCTACATCAGCTGCTGAGTACTCATACCAATATTGTATTATGGCTATGGTGACCTTTTTGGATCACTACAACACAATACTACAACAGGATTAACATTTAAGATTATGCCGTAATATCGATATTTGATTGTTTTAACCCTTTAGTAAGGAATTGACAACAATTTGCACATTCAATCGCTTTAAATCTGCGTATGTTTGACCAGTTCCAACGAATACTATTGGTTGACCAGCTGTATAGGTCATTGATATCGCGGCACCAACCTGACAAAAAATAGAAAAATTAAATGCCTTCAGTATTATGCCGATTTTAGACAATTACAAGTTAATACTTTTCACTATAACAGTAAGCAAAGCTTTATTTATTTATATCTATACCCAGAACCGCATATCTAAAATCATTCTGAATTTCATACATAATCTAAAGTAAAAATCAGCAAAGATATACCTTGTCATCAATAGTATCGAATTTAGTCAATAAAATGCCATCGATAAGCCGCGGATTATCACTTTTCGAAAAATCCATCATAGCATGATTGAATTTCTTCAATTGATCTACTGCTTCATTGCCAACTAGTGCTTCACCAACAAAAAGTACCAAATCTGGTTCATTGATATGAACCAACTAAAAAAGAAAAAATGTTGAGTTTACTTATACGCCTATATCACCATAGAAACAAACGTTTTAGGCATTTGAAGGACTGAACGGCAACTAGTTAAAATGCATGAGTTATAGGCGTTTGGTTAATAGTAATATAGCATAAAAAGTCCATCTACTAATCATAAAGAAGATTGTAGTCTAATCGTTAATCTAAAAAATCGCTATTATTGCCATATGCCAATACCTTTGCTAAAGATCTCATCAAGGGCTCATTGTCTTGCATTCGGCCAGCAGTATCAATTAGTACCACGTCAATTATTCGATCTTGAGCTAGAAATATAAATCATAGGCATTCGGACACATCTATTGTAAGTATCGATTCATATATCGTACAGTATTATATGCAAGTAGATATAAAGTTATTTAATAAAGTCTAAAATCATAGCTTTATTTTAATCCCGTACCGAAGTTGATAGCATCCATCGCTATTCCAGCTGCATCTTTGCCGTATCCTTTTTCAAAGAGAATTACGGAAGGTTCTTCATCACCTTCAGCCGGATGCAATGCATTCAAATGGCGAACATGAGTTCGCAATTGCTCCACAGCGCCAGCACGAAAGGTATCACATGCAGCAATTAAGACACGATAACCGTTTTCCATGAGCCAAAAGCAAATCTACAATATTTTCGAATAAACACTAATTAAAAACTGTCCAGTGATATATGTGAATAGATAAAAATCACAAAGTAATGAGCATCGAAATACTTTAGCAAGATTTGTGGATTTTCCAACTCCGTTCACACCGCAAAATGTAATCGAATATGGCTTTTGCCGACGTTTAGCTTCCATACAGTCACGCAGTATGTCAATTTGACGTCTTGGCGACAACAGCTGAGTTAGGGATTCGGCTAAGGTTTTCTTCACTTCACTGGTGATTCCTAGACATTTCATTAACTTTAGCTTTAATATCCTGAAATATTGAAATTACATTTACAATGATAATCATGCTGGCATGTACTTACCACCGAATGTACCGATAACTTTGCCTTCCAACTTGGTCGAGACGCTACTGCATAATTGGTCAGCGATATCAGCAGCAACATTTTTTGCTATACAAATTCCATGGAATATGAGACAAACAGAAGCAAATACGCTCAAATCAGTACATGGCTTACTTAAAAAATTTCTGAATGAGGCACTAGTCAAGTCTAGTCAAAGTTTACCACTTTACAGTTTGTCATACCTATTAAATGCTCCTTCATTTTCTCTAAGATTGGTACCATCCCCTCTTTCGTAATTATTTTTTGTCCAGTTAGAGTTTTAAAGAATGACAACAAACCAGTTTGCTGTTTCTTGGGAGCTGGTTGAGAGCTACTGCGGAATACGTAGATATTTATGTACGATTAAACAATATCACTGCTTCGCAACTGCAGGTATCCAGTATTAATCTTCAATATGTCATTACTACGTATGTATTAGCGTATCTATAGCATACATACGACGTACGCTATTAAATGTATGTGTTAAGACTAAATCAGTTGTTCAAGAATTTACTTCGTAGCATTATTGATTTCTTCTTCTTCCTCTGATGATTCCTCTGAAGCTGATTGCTCTTCAACTTCTTCAAAAGTTTTTAACTGTCCCTTCATAGTTCCAACGAAACTTTTCTATAATTCGGTTAGTAAAAGTAGCGATCATAGAAATTAAAGGGGCAAATGAAATGATAATTTCGCTGTAACTTTGAATCATTAAAATATTAAAGATATAGAAAGTCTTACGTTCACTTCGACGTCTTTATTAGCGTTGACGTTATCCCCAGACGCAGTATTACTGCTATAATCCAGCTCGACTTGATCTCTAGTAGAACCGCCGTTCGACCATACTCTATCGGCCTTCTTATGAGGTTCTTTACTAGCTGTGCTGGTGGTTGTTTTGGATGGTTTTTGAGATCTACTAAGGAAGGACAAGATCTGAGTTAGATTGACATCATTTACGAACAATTCAAATTTCAATAGCGCGAAGCTTTAAAGAATGTATAAAATACAGTAATAAGCGCACATCTTTATATTTTACATTTCATTTGAAATATTTTTTACCTCACTCTTCCTTTCGGTCCAGTTCGAGGTTTCCCACTAGCCCTTGGACTAACATTTCTTGCAACTTGCGGAATAGTAGGCGAAGCGGATTCTGCTACTACCCCGTTACTGCCACTGCTACTATTGTTAGCTAGTAAATTGTAATAATGATATTATAGGCAAATATCAGCTAAAGCATAATCGCTGCTGAAACAACGATTAGGAGCAAAGGTGATCGTATCTTACATCATCAAACTAGTTAATAATAATTCAACACAATCTGTTAAGCAATTTGAAGTAAGTATTGGCATGACACTAGTGTAACAACGAAGCAGTCACTGATATCATAAATCATTATATTACGTTCTTCGTAGTCTATTTGTACCAAAGGTTTTTACTAGATGCTATTTAGGTATTTACATTGCAATCTAATATATACTGAATATGGCAGGTGTCACACTATATAGATATAGCAGCTTCAGATTAAAATTACTTGGTAATCAGCAAAGCCAACACAATGAACGAAGAATTACAAAAAGTGTTTGGCAACCAAATTAGTAGTAACCAATTGTAAATCTATAGTGAAGAGACGTACCTTCCAGAACAGGAGCATCGTTAGACTCGTTATTATTCTTTTGATCGACTTTCAGTGAAGCAATTGTCTTTCGAGATTTCTCAGACTCTTTAAAAGTCCTCATCTTCTTTGGCTGTGCTTGCTTCACTTTGTGTTCTTCAATGACAGACTTCAAGATGGTTTGATACTCAACATCAAAATCAAACTTCCGATATGTTCCAGTAGATAATCTGTCTTTGTATTTATCCCGAAAAGCCAGGTGAACATCTGATATTAGCTTGTCAATATAAAGTAATTGCACTATTTTCTGATAGGCAACCTAAAATGGATTGATGAAATGTAGCGTACTGTTAGTGAAGCATGCGAAATATAACTATTGTCGCATACGATTAAGCCTGTATTAAACTAAGGCTGAGTGAATTAAGGTTAATCCAGGATGTTACTGCAGTTTCCCGATTAAATCAATCAGCAAGTGATTCGAAAATACAACATCGGCCTATTGAAGTATGTTGGACAGTACAATCACATATTTAAAACAGAATTACTCCATTGGCATAATCAATAATCAGTTAAAGTTGATTGTATTAGTTTACGGCCATCTGCAGCAACAGCAACAAAATCATTTTTATAACAAATAACAAAAGCTTCAGCGTTGCGAGTGTTAACATTATAAAATGTAGTGAAGTGGCTGATGTTAATTTTCATCACTAATTGTAACGGATCACGATGACATTCAATGAGATAAAAGACTGATTTTCGTTAATAATTAACCGTTGTAAAGGGATAAGTCGACTACACTTGATTAATTAATTGTTCGTAAAACTGATGAATGCAAGACTTTGGTTGATATCAAGTCGGCTTTTCGATAAAAGATGAGCTAACTATACACTTGATATTGCCTAAACATTGTAACAGCATGAAATTGATATATACTAATGGGTTCCGTTCGCTAATGTCCCGTTTGCATGTAACTTTAGTATAACATACGAGTAAGTCATGGTTAGGAAATAAATGAATTACTTTAATACAGTGTAGGGCAGGTATCCTGAAAGCACCGCTGTTATTTTGTAAAAGATAACAGTAGTAAACAGAAAATAAAATTACAATCATTGGTATTCTCAAATCGAATCTTAATCAAAAATTCGTTCAGCCGACAGTACGTTGTTGATTCAGGAATGTATTCATAGCTATACAGTATACAAATCATACTTTCTCAAGTTAATGAATTGAATCACGGATGATTACAATATGGATGTATCACCTGTAAGCCTATGTAAAATTACTATTTATGTATTGAGTATCGTCTATTGAAATCATTATGATGCAAACTTACCACAAAGACCAGTTCAAATTCATTATCCAGCTTATACTGTAATTCGAGACTGTCATGGGTAAAGGTTGACTTGCCAGTGCGCTCCTATATAGACATGAAGAAGAAATAGATTATGCAACAGTCTGAATATTAGAGTCCCTACTAACATCCGATGATAGCTCCAAGGGTGATGTATAACATAATGTAGTATGATGATAGGATTTATTGGCTTTTCAAGCAGTTCAACACGCTGTAGCCCCTTGAAGTTGAAATATATGGTGAATGAGCGTTGGATGGCTGCAACGCCTAAGATCGTTGCAGTTTCTATGGTTTTGGTAGTATATAAGCGTCGATTGCTGTTCAGAATCATCGATGGTACCGCCATCCTATCTACATGCTATTGTTTGACCCTCTATAGTAACAGGGTGACTACTACGACTGTATTTTTATTTCAAATTCTCAAATACAAAGCAATTATTTCATATTGATCAAGGGGCAAGATCCCATTTCATCCGTTCAAGCCCTTTGAATGAACGTTTTTCCTGGGTTGGCTGGGAGATTTTCTACCCTTATCGTTTTGAAACCAAATCATTTTGTTAAATTGGGTGATTTTTACCTGAAGAATAACGTCCCGTATTAAAGCATTAACTGGCTCTGTAAACGAATGCTGGATGCCTTGAAAGCACCATAAAACGATCCCACTCTTAGTGAAGATGGTGAATAGATCCAACATGGTGGCAGTCTTTGTCAGGGATTTGTCGTTCAAGGCGAGTAACTAACGAATGACTGCGATCAGACTTCTCTAGTGCTAGTATAATCGTATTATTATTATGATAGGGTGCAGTCATGGACGACTGTACGGAAGAAGAACTGGACTGATCACTCCCTCGGACAGACGGATGTTTCTAGCCCAAAAGAAGCCGTCGATTTCGCAAAAGGGCTGCTGTACTGTATTGGCTATGCCTCTACCGTGTTGGTTTTATAAATCATGGGTACTCATTGAAATAACTTCTCCAAATGTTATAGAACTGTTTCCAAGTGGAACTTACTAAAATGGGCAATAAAATTCAAGGCAATATTACTTAATTTACAGCAATTCGTATTCGTATTATTATGATAGGGTGAAGTCATGGACGACTGTACGGAAGAAGAACTGGACTGATCACTCCCTCGGACAGACGGATGTTTCTAGCCCAAAAGAAGCCGTCGATTTCGCAAAAGGGCTGCTGTACTGTATTGGCTATGCCTCTACCGTGTTGGTTTTATAAATCATGGGTACTCATTGAAATAACTTCTCCAAATGTTATAGAACTGTTTCCAAGTGGAACTTACTAAAATGGACAATAAAATTCAAGGCAATATTACTTAATTTTACAGCAATTCGTATTATTATGATAGGGTGAAGTCATGGACGACTGTACGGAAGAAGAACTGGACTGATCACTCCCTCGGACAGACGGACGTTTCAAACCTAAAAGAAGCCGTCGATTTCGCAAAAGGGCTGCTGTACTGTATGGGCTATGCCTCTAACGTGTTAGTTTTATAAATCATGGGTACTCATTGAAATAACTTCTCCAAATGTTATAGAACTGTTTCCAAGTGGAACTTACTAAAATGGACAATAAAATTTAAGGCAATATTACTTAATTTACAACAATTCGTCCATTGGAAATGAACCGTTTGCATAGACTAAAGTACGATCAGAACGAAAGTATTTTGGCAGGATATTTTGACCAGACAAATCCGAAAATGTCTGTCCGTCCAAAGGTGACGAGCATTCAACAGTATTACAGCGCGGTATCCATAGAGATCGGCATGGTCTGGCCCGGTCTGGTCCGGTCTGGTCCGATCCGGTTCGGACCAGAGTCTTTCTTATGTTTCTACCACTGTAATATTACTGTACTGGACAGTACGCTACCACCTGTAATTGGCATACTGTACTGTACTCCAGCTTGTAGTACTGTAGTACGGAAAGTCTTCTTATAACGTGGGATGAATTAATGATCTGGACCAAAATCAGCTAATGACGAATATCCATGAGTCCAATTACAATCTTTACGTAGCATGTAGGATAAAATTTGTCTTGATGATGTTAGCAAGTTAGGATGTACCGTAGTAATGCTCCAAGTGATGTAAATTAGCTCTGTAAATAAGACTCAAGTACTTGAATTACACTCATTTGTAGGTTATTATTTAGAAGCCGTAAATTGAATTTATTATCAATCAATTAAGCAGTACTGAAGTCTTAGGATTCCTCAACATAAACTATGCTATACTAATCATTACAGGTAAGCAAAGTCCCTCAACCTGGAGATTAGTACTATTCCTACTAATAACTAAGACTAAATGGATATTTGAAGTGCGAACAGGTTGAGTCTGGGTATTATACCAGAAATCGAATAGGTTCATCAAAATAAATCCTTATAAGTTATAGCTAAATGTCCTCATGAGAACATTGAATAATACGTAAAGTAGCTTTAAATGGAGATACATGTAAAAAAAAATGGATTAATTGGCTTTTACGGTATCAAAATTGAATCTTTATAGGCCAATGACTGAGTAAAGTGCAAGATAGCCGTTAATGACAGTAAATTAATGAAGATATAGCTAAAACTGCAATGATCAAAATACAAGCAGATGCAGAATGAGCGATAGACCAATGGTAACTATAGAAACTGTCTATATCTAATGGATAATTGTATCTGAGGAAAGGAGAGACTTTAGTGTTTGTATTATTCTACTGTTGAGACTAATTATTATGTTGAGTGTCTCTTATCATAAAATCATTTACTTAACGACGGTGTAGATATCTACTTCTTTGTAATCGAGCAATATGACAGACTGAATGTACTTCAAAATTGATAGAGCTTAAGATAGTCTGTCTCTATGAATTCATTAGTTATTTCAAAATAAAGGATCGGCTACGATAAAAGCACGAAACAATGTAGTATCGCAAACATGAAGTATTTAGATTGAATCTGCTTCTATCCATCTCATTAATGTCCTCCTTCCTTTGCTATTCGTTTTGGATACTCCATTCTAAGCCATATAATAAAATGTTTCGATCTTCTCATGTTCTCTTTCAGATTATTCTTAACATATATGCGGCTTGTAAATAGCGTCTCGATGAAATGGTTTTAAGCAAAAAGATTGAGAATGTCATCGATAAGGAATATCAATTGATTATTAATGATATTCCACTAGCTGATTATTTATACGATCTACGAAGTATAGGATTGATATCTGACGATGAAGTTATCAAACTTAGAGATGATTGCAAGAATAATAAAGAGCGAGTATTTGAATTTTTAAAAATATTGAAGTCAAGAAGTGATGAAAACTTCTTTCAATTCTGCTGTATACTCAAGGAAAGTCAAGTCAGACATATTCAAGATATTGGTAAAGCTTTAGAAATTGAAGCTAATATCCCTAATAAACATAGTAAGTCCAATTATATTCCACATATACTAAGTGTCCAGGTATAATACTAATTGTTTAAAATATTCAGGGTTAGTTAATGAATAAAAGCTGATGTTCTCTAACCTACTATTGAACTACGGGCGTAGTTACCTTAGAAATTGCTACTTTAGGTACAGAATTTCATAACTACATTTCACTGATCTCATACAATTTCTAGCTTACTTAAATTTAGGATAGAAATTAGGCTATTTTGAGATATACTATGGGATCTAATTCAAAATATCATTTCAAACTTATCCTACTTTATTCTAATTTAGCATATCTAATAAGTCAAATCAGTCAGCTAAAATTAATCTTATAGTGAACTTACGAAAAATTGTAGTTTTATTAAGTAGGCATGGTACAACGTTGTTAAATTTTATTAAGCAATAAGCATCTTTAATATTCATCAAATTTTATATCAATATCCTATATGAAGCTCAAATTCAAGCAACTGCAAGTCAAATTCAGCCAAGGAAAAGTAATTAGGATTATTAAAAAAATACATTAATCTAGCCATAATTTTATCTACTTATGTGAATACCTAAATTAACTTCTCAATAGTCGTTTTAACCACTTTATTTCTGGCTCGAATACATAAAATTCTACTGGGTTATTTTCACTTTATAGCGTCACTAATTGCATTTTCTTACATCTTGACTTATAAAAAGAAAATCCCCTCTTGCATCCATTCCGTGCCATAAAATCAACATTGTTTAGTAAGAAGGCATCGATCTCGACATCATCTCCAACTAAAAGTATGTCTTGCACCTTGGCAGTTACTAATCTGTCTTACCTATTCTCTGCTAGTATATTGCAGCTTACTGGTATAATAAGACACTCCAATTCAAACTTGCTCTGTGATATACGAAGGAAAAATTTCAATTATTTAATAAACCTGCCTATAAATTGTTTAAATGCTAGCATGAATGATATCATTTTATTTAAATATAAGACAGCATTTACATGGCTTGTAACTGTAATAAGCATTATCGTAGTATAGAACACTTTATAAACTTTAGGAGAAAGTACTTGTATATATTTAGTTACATTTCTTTGCGTTATATAGCATGTTTTCATTTCCACTATTTGCTCATCAGAGACTTTCCCGCTCGCAAGTTCTTCGCAAAGTGTATCCGAATATTCTTCATCAGAGAATTCTCCATCAAAAAATCCCTCATCAGAAAATTTTCCATTAGTGAATCCCCCATTAGAAAATCTGTTATTGGAAACTTCTTCATCAGAAATTCCTGTATTGGAATTTTCTACATCCGATTTGTCTCTAGCAAAAAGCTCTTCTTCTCAAATTTCTATACTCGATTTTGATGTGCCTGAAAACTTACTTCGAAATCTTCCTCCAACTCCAAGTAATCACTATGTTATGAGAAAGGACGCCGTAAACACGATTTGTGATCAATTAAAGATCATAAATGATCTATCTGGTCATCTCTTAATCCATGGTATGGCTGGTAGCGGTAAAACAGTTACTGTTTGTCAGTCTGTAAGGCAAGCTGCTAAAAGAGGCTATTTTAAATCAAATGGTTGTTACTGGATGAAAATTGGTAAGATTGCTAATTATATTATGAAAGTCTATAATCTATTTTAGCATGTACTTTATAGGCATATAACTCAAGCTGATAATACTGTCATAGATTTCATACTGATTCAATGCTACGGTATTGTAGAGAATCATTAAGTTAATAAATCTGGTAGAGTAAAATAACCTATAAATTACCGAAGTAAAATTATGACAGTAAATGTCAAAGACAGCTATAATTAAATGTAGTTGAAATTCTACAGCTGCAGCTGCAACTGGATAAAAAAATGAATTAAGAAGTATTCCTTTTCCAATATATACTTTTATCAATATAATATTTAGAGTAACCATCAATTCCTCTTAGGTAATATATCAAACGGGCAGTTATCCAACCAGCTAAAGATATTAGGTATAAGTCTTGGTATAGAGTGGAAGGAACATATTCAATCAATAGGAGAAATTTCTGCAGCTCTCAGTTACTATTTGCAGGGTAAATATTTTACCTGTTTTCAGTAATAAATCATTTTAAATTAGATTAAGTCTATTAAGAAATTATTTGATATCTTTATAATAGTCAATAGCCGAATATCCGATACATTGTTTATTTTCGATGATATCTGGATAAAGGATCATTATAACTACTTATCCTTTGCCAAAAAGTCTATCGCTACTTCACGATTTTTGTATTATGAAAATGAGCTTACTCACTACTGCATTCGGCTGCCGGTTCGTCTTTATTGAAATTTCTTTCTTGATGCAACATTTTACTTAATCAACGAATAACCTGCCTTAGCTGACGTCTTTCTTTAGGAATATGCATCGATGGAATGAAATCCAGAAATACTATTAATCTTATACTCTTCTTCTACTTGCATATAGGAGCAGTTAGCTTTCGACGAAGCAATAGAATTGCTTTCATTACATCGCCACGATCGCGATACTCAAGTTTTGCGTGATAATCCAATTATCAAGAATGTCATCGATAGTTGTGCGGGCCTACCGTTAGCCATCAATTTAATTGGTGGTTTGCATCTAGACACTAACGAAGATTGGAATAAAGCTAAAGCAATCATTTCAAATAAGTCCAAGAAAGTTAGATTAGCTAACTATAACTTTAATCTGCATGGAACATTGCAGTTAAGTGTGGAATCTATAGAAGAAAATGATAGACGACTGTTTGAGTCGCTAGTTGTATTTAAACGCGTAAATATTCCCATCGAATCAATTGCCTCATTATGGAACTGTGATGAGCAAGACACGGACGATCTCTTAGTAGAAATGAATAATAAATCATTGCTAAGATATGTTAGAGGAAACAAGTAAGTACTGTACAAAAAGAGTGTAAATAAATTGATTTAGGTCGAGAGAGCATTGCAATTAATTGCAATATATTCACTAGTATAATGGTTAAATAATCTTTGGAATTAAGTATTTCTAATGGTCATGCATCATAAATTTAGTGAGTTACAACGCATGCAATCGTTTTCTACAGTACATTAAACTTGGGAACTATAATTATAGTTTGTCTCATTCGCTTTTGAATATATTTGGTAAGTTATGAAATAGAAGATGATCTTCTGATAATAAAATATAAAATCTTGCTTAGGCCACTTTCTAGATCAAAGATACCCATTGCTATATAGTGTAAGCTGTCTTGTTAGCATTTCTTATTAAGTGTTAGTTTATTATTAATGCAATACTTACATCTTCTGCATACTGTACCATCAGCCTGATCTCAAGTTGTAAATTTTTTCAAGGTGTTACTGTGTTATACATGATTTGATGGTCGACTATCTTCAACAAAAAATCTACTCTCAGTCATCAAACCAGGATTCTCTTAAAATACTGAACGAGAAGTTGTTGGACGGTTATCTTAATCGGTGCCATGGGAGATGGAATGTCTTCCCTGATGATGGTTATTTCTATCAAAATCTTATTTATCATGCTTTAATTGCTGAAAGTGATGAAAATCTTACCAATATCATGGCTGATTTCAATTGGATGACTTGCAAAATTAGATCAGACAAGATTATCTACAATCTCATCCGCGATATAACAGACTATGTTAATTATTTGCAAGAAAGAGAGCAGGTGCAGTATTTGGTTGTCTAAAACGACTCGATATTATGTGCATTGATGATTCCATCTCGTAGATAATACTGGTCTAAATACCTAGTTTACTCTTTATTTTCGATTTCATTGCCATAGATTTTAAACATGATTAAGTAATGCTTATTGAACATCGTAAAATATTAGTCATAAACCAGCAGCAATAGTACAATATCAAAATAAGATCAACGATTTAGTATCAGAGTACCATTTTATTAATTTCATATGTAACATTTTTGGGTCAAAAATCTTTTGATTCTAAAGCTCAGCTTTATTTTGGCATTGACTGATATTATTGACCCCTTTACACTCACGATTTATTTTGACTTAGAACTGGGAGAACTATAATGAACTGGTTGGGCTCCTAAAACAACAGCAAGTCTGGTTTGGTGCAAATAGCGTGATACAAATAATCCTATGGGTGGACATGACAAGTAGTTGGATGAAAGAAAGAGCTTTACAGTTAGCAGTCGAAAATACGCAAGATTCGAAACACAACTTATCCTATTGGACCATAGCAGAGTAAGCTGCAATTAGACGATGACAGAAATTCTATTATATTTCTTTCCCGCATTCATTTCTTTGGTATTGAATTGGCAATAGGTGCTCGACAAGTATAATAAATCCATATACATACGATGAATGCAGAGAGTTTGGTAGGTGCAAAATGGACTTTAATTTATCAATTTCGAATCCAGCCTTTGGACAATGCCGAATCATTGGCACCGAAAACTGCTGGAAAAAAAATTGCCAGATTGTGGTAGGTTAACAATTTCTAATATACTACTATCAATCTAAAATTTTATTAGTTGAGGAAAGTTATAATCGAGTACCTTGATTAAGCCAGCGTTTTTCAAACCTATTTTCTGATCCCATCTAAATTGTTCAATAGCAAGTTGAAAGAATTTGCATTTAATTAATTTTTTTAAAATCATCTGATATCGAGTTAAGGTTAAGGATTGGATATCACACCTTATTTAATGTTTTATCGATAGATCAAAGACTATGAAACTCTAGATCTTGTGCTCCGAATATCTCCACCGGAAATTTCTATTGAAAGTATTGAAATCGCAGCTGATGGTTGCACTGTGGCCTTTAAGGATGTCATGGAGGTAGGTGTTCTAAAGTTTTAGTAAGATAAACTATAAATAATTATAGCCTTCCTTTTGTGAATAAAAGGTAGTTTTTAAAGGTATCTATAGAGTCAGTGATTACATCAAATGATAGTAAAGAATAGGAAATCACATGTTTATTCTTATAATTTCAAAATTCTGCCAATAATCGTCGAATTAAAGGAAAGTCTACACTCATTCATAATTATATTTATAATTCAGCTAGTCTTGAGAAAGCAGCTGTTCCTATTACCGTACAATATCACCCAAAAATATTCTAAAAGCTCATTATCCTTTTATTTCAATTGAAACAAGCCCTTTATTAATATACTTCTAATTAGACCTGGATTATTTACAATATTGATAAAAATGAAAGAATGAACTTTGTCGAAAACGATGAGCAAGAAGATGCGGATGATAGATTCTATTCCTTACAATTTTTTACTATGAAATGCGAAAATTCGTTAATCATGACACTTAATCAAAACAGGCTTGGACTCAGGGTAAGTAGTTTGCAGGAATAAGATAGGGTAGTTTAAATTAATTACGAAATAATCAAGTATTAGGTCTTAATTTGATCTATATATATGTTAATAGATTTGGAAAATTGAAAACGATCAAATACTGCCTACCATTAAGCAAATATCAAGTAAATACCAGATAGAATCTTGTCGATGGATAATGGCACCAAATCGTAAGCAAATTTTATTGTGGTACAGAAAATTTGATTATAATGGGGACCCGAAGCATAGACCCAAAGATAGACAAAACTGGATTAATGAAAGTCAGATTGAGGTAAGTAATGACTCGCTAAATTGAATACTTAAACTTAAATTTGTACTCTAAGATTGGGTAATGCAGTGAATGTTGGTGATGATTGCATCTTTAGCTTTGGGATTTGGAAACGTGGTCTATTCAGCGATCGTTGAAAATGCCTGCTTTCGTTTTCAGAAATGCTGGTGGCTATATTGCTACTAACGATTTTGAGCATGGATTATCACTGTACTGCATTAACTATATAAACAGGAATACCGAATTTATAATTTCGGCATATGGTAGATTTGGACTTGATGATGGCACGATGGGTCTAATTAAATTGGAAGATGACATCAATGCCAGTCAAAACTTGATTGAATTTTCAAATCGATTTCAGATCATATTACATGAAAACCAATACATTAAGAATATTTCTGTATCGGACGATCATCAATTCATCGCTATTGACTTTTCTAGGGAAGATGTAGGGGTTAGTTTAACACTATATTACCTCCCTCACATGTTCATTTACTAGTATCTATAAAAATTAAATCAGAACTATTCTACCTTACAGGAATATGAACTATTAACATCTGGTAACTATCAGTTTTATACCTATTTGCTACAGGTACTTGTACTCAGGATAATAGAGGATCAGGTCAGATATTATGCAAAAGTTAAACCGTCAGTCATAAGTAAGTCCATATTTATTCCTGGCAAGAATCGGTTGCTTGTCCATGATTACTGGGATAAGCATTGTCTGTATGAATATAATTTACAAGGTAAGTTATGAGCGTAGTCAGACAAACCAAAATGAATTGTCATGGCTAAATTTGTGATAATTACTCAATGTAATGAATGAAATCAAAGGTCATAACATCCATTGGCAAGATATTCAAGATAGCAATTCAAACCTGAAATATATTGCACTAAAGGACGGCACTAAGACTACTGTCAAGGTTTTGGATGTATGCATGGCTTACGTAAATTCTATCCCAGTTGTAGCTGTACTGAATTTGGATATCAACGATAGTTACCAACTTGAGGTAAATTATTGCCCTGTGCAAGTCCATCCAATTTTTCATTGTTTGTATTTAAAATATTAATTTATAAAATTTAAACAGGTGTACTGTCATCAAGTGCTCTCTTCTACAAGTATATATCATCATCGGCTTAAACAACAATGTCATCGATGTTTCCTATATAATGATTTACGCTCAGCCATAGTGGTACGGATAATAGATGGGGAGTCCAATATCGTCGTTACAGAGGTAGCTATGGTAAATGCCTCTTACAAGATAGATTTAAAATAGCAGTTCATGTTTTCGGCATTTAAGCTACATTTTAATTTGTCCACTGATCCATTTTCATGGTAGACATCAAGCCGGATTAATTAAATATCAACACTCGTATAGAATATTACAATTACTAATCTATTAATATTGTCGTTTTCAACATGTCATTCGTACAGGTCGCCTATTTTCTAGATGCGGATCATGTTGAAGAACCTAGAGAGCTTCTGAATTATAGTATACCAAAAGAATGTGTTGGCTCATATAAGATTACCTCGCGACACAGAAAGACGGATAACGTATTAATTTTCATTATTCATTCTGAGGTATAAATTAGTTTAAAATTTTATGAAATGATTTGATTTGTTTCCTTATTTGCTAGAATAATTCATTTACTGCCTAATAATATAATTGAACCAGAAATGAGCCGATATTCTACTTTCATTAGTTTTAATCCTTTTCACTCTTATAGATCTGTTTGGAGGAATATGGCATGTTGATAATTATAATAACCATAAATCTTAAGACTGGAAAGAAAATAATTTATGAACAAGATGATATGTATAGACATATAAGCCAAATATACGCTGATGACTGTTATCTATACACTTATCAAGAGAAAGATACTCTGGATAAAGAAAATTTATGCAATGTTAAAGTAATTAACGTTATTCTAACACTCATTTTATTCCATATCAGTTTTAATTCAATCTCTAACAGAAATACAATTCAGGCTTAGTGCATCATATCTAAACTTACAGCTTTCAAATAGCAAACTCTTTTGAATTTAGTTTACAACATAATGTGCTATTAAATAAGATTGTAGCAGGTAGCAACTGATACGATAATTCGATTAACTACCTAAAAATTTAATTTATTTCAGTGTTACAAGTTTGGGGATGGTAAACAACAAACGCAGCTGATTAAGACATATCCATACGATGTCCAAAATGGATCGGTCTTTAAAATTAGTGTAGATTCAAATCAACTCGTTTATAGTCCTGTAATTACATACTCAAGAAAGTATAAGAAAAAAGATCTCTTTATTGAAATATATGGAGAGACAAAGGCCGATGCAATTGTATGTCATAATTTTGTATGTTGCTCTACATGAACAAAATAGGATTCGAAATACAACATTTAATTCATAATGAACAATTTAAGACGTATTTTTCCTTGAATAATTACATGTGCATTAAATTCAATTGTTCACAGGTAAATCATTGGTACTCCAGTTACATAATCTTTTTACTAGAAAACGGGGATCATGCAGCGGTAAGGAAATGATGATAACTTAACGCTATCGTTTATTATTGTGATAGATTAAGTTGTTGTTAATATTTATAGATACTTAACAAGCATGGTGAAGTAATCATGAAAATGTATAAAAATAGCAAGATTAAAGTGGATCCTGAAGCAATAATCTTCAATAATGAAAACTTATGGTCAAACAAGCATTTCCTTGCTTATTATCGTAGCCTTTCCAGTTTGCATTTTTATGATTCTAAAACCTTACAGCTACAAATGACTTTACCCTTTCCTCACTTTGAAATTATGGATATGCAATGGAATTGTCAGAAATCTTCTTTTATTGTTAGCAATCGATGCGATAACTATTACTGCTTTATTAAGCGAATTGAATAAGATTAACAATTTCAGTGCCTATTCTCTTCTACTGTATATTGAAAATAAATTCAAGGAGATTGAATGGCTGAAATTCAAACGTTTATGAAGGCGATAACTACGATTTCATTTAATTTATACTGCATGGTTTATCTTGAAAATATTACAACTGTACTTCGAATTTGAGGCTGAGCAAAAGGATATGCGATTCAGGTTAAGCATTTTTTAACTGAATAAATTAATATGTATCATTATATTTGCTGGACGAGTGGTCGACTGCTGACAAATAGTATCGATACATTATTGCAACACTATACCATTTTCTTCATGATCACGTTGATTATTTATTTCTGCAATATTAAATTATTAAATTAGAGTATTCTGCTTGATTAAAACGAATTTCAGTACTTAGCTAGACTTGTATTAGTTATTGTGATAGAATTATTGAAAAACGTAACTATTTATACCATTGAATCATTTAAAAATCTACAATGGATGATCGGCAAGAGTATAAAACTACAAGCACTTAGTGCTTCAAGTCTAATTTAGTCGCTTTCTAGTTCATACTCTAAGCTATTTTAAAATATATGGGATATCCAGATATGCGTTTATATTAAAACATAGAAAGTAATAAGTTCTAAGCATATTATTTCTACTGATCACTGTATTTAGGGTCAGATGTAAGTTAGTCCTCCTATGATCGATTTCCAATGATAATCGAAGATCGATACTATAAATAATTGGTTTAGTAATCATTATGGAAGTTGACATATCTTTTTGGACATTACGATTCTGTACTACTTCCTTCTTCGAATAATATAGCGTTGAATAGGAGCTGTGAGAAAACTATAGACCATAAAAGATAGGTATAATAAAGATTAGATAATACATATAATTTAGTAGAAGAAATAGCCACAGAGATTAAAATGATAAGGAATTGGTGATCTAAATCTTGCTGCCAAACTTCAGCTTCATGAATTTATTGTTTCATACAGTAGACTTTAAATCTCTGCATTTCATACTGAATTGTAAGCAATGTTTAAAATAACATCCATTGCATCTTTCAAATACCGTTAAACTGGCTTTCGCCAATTCTGCTGCGTATCCATGCATTTGCTGAGTACATCTACTATTTGAAGAATACTAATAGTAACATATCGGCAATTAGCATACCGGAAGTTGTACGGCCGGCAGTTTTCGATAGGCAGTTGTCATACATACAAATTACGATTAATTATTAAATGTATATTGTCACTTGCATCTGAAATTAAATAATTTTTTTATGTAATAATAGAAATAGCGCTATGTTAGTTCAGTCGCGCGATCGTTGTTGAGCTAAGCTGATTGAATTTAGATTTGTTGCGTCGCTAGCCTAGAATTGCTTACCTAGCTGGTAGGTGAAGCTGCGAGCCTAGGGCCGAGCCTGATTGGCTCTAAAAGGCCCAATGACTAATCAGAAGGACGAAAACAAGAGATAGCTAGCAGCGGCAAAAGCTTATAGTAAAATGATAATAAATGATAGTTCCCGTATGGAAATTTGTCTGTAAGAAACTTATTCAAAACATGTTAACAAATAGATCAGACCCGAATAGTATAAAAAGGGTCTTTAAGAGAGCTAAGGCAGCCTCTCAGTTTTGCTACATCAAGAGTACGAGACAGTGTTCTACGATAGATTATAGACTATTTTTATTGCTAATACCTAAGAACCTTTTATTAGTGTCATAAAGTTATTTTTATCCAATGGCGTTCAATCTCGATATTACTGTGAACAGTAGTAAAAGATTAGGTTAGGAGTAACAATTATGACAATGTACTTTACCTATTTTGCAGCCAATTTACTGCATTGTTACGTCACACCTTAAGTTGCTTTTTGTTATCTTATATAAATTTAAATTTAACTAGTTCTAGCTTTCTACTTTCTACTTTCGCTTCCTTATGGGCTAGTATCATCATCAGGCAAAAGTCAAACGTAGAATTTAGAAATATTACGGCAAAGGTGAATACGGCAGTCTTCCTCTTGACCATTTTAAACTTAATTTCATTTATCCTACAAACTGGATGTAATAATCCTTTCCATTCTTATTGACTATTTTATCTCGAACCTTAATAGCAGAAGGCTATAGAATTTATTATTAATTAAAAAAATCAAAGATTTTTATCAATTGATAAGCGAGGAACCAACAGGTACAAATAAACAATGTTATCCACTGAAAGGATTTTTGTAATCTGAACTAACCAAATCCTTCTTACACTCAACTTCTTGTATTTTTATTTTACGTGTAAAGAGTGGGCGATTAAATCAGGTAAATGCCGTTAAATTATTCCGCAAAGATAATCCAATAATTTTATTTTTTGCGGTCATTTTATCATCATAATATTATGAAGGTTAATATTGTATTGCTTCCTCACAGTATTTTATTCCTCTCTAATGAACAAAGTAGTTCTTCTAATATAATCAATTTTAAGCTTTATAATTCAATCTAACTTTCTATACTACTAAAGTTTGAATTAATGAAAGGAATCTAATTAAACACGTATAAAAGTAATATGCATAACGGTAAATCTGTGGCTAAAAGTAAAATTTACACATGAGATTCTTCAACTTTAAGGATTACGCTAAAAAAGTGATTTAAAAATAATACGGCGGTAATTCATGCCTTCATTTACAAACTTGTTGATTGTTAATCTTTCTGATGGTGGTCTCATTGAAGTGAAGTAGTATTATATTGCATTACCACTAACACCTAATAGTGACTTTATTGAAATAAAATAATTTAATTTTGCTATGCACGCTTCTATCATTTTTGCATGATACCTTAACCTATAAGAGTATTCTCTATAATGATGCACATTTATTTTGATTCTCCTTTTACTTAAGCCAAACTATGATTTTATATAAAAATATCTGGTATCAGCTTGAGATAACATTGCGATAGAAACACCAAGTTTCAGTCTCTACTGAAACACCCTAACACAGTGAATAAGTGACAGAATAATACATAGGTCATAGTATGAGAAAATTTGTTAAGTCGTGCTTTTAATATCATTCCAATTTTCTGAAATTAGCATCTATTTCAGGTCGATTTCTAGTTTCAGTGATTGCATATGGATATAAAATTTTGAATGATTTCGTTTTCTATCTTGGATATTTCTCAATTTAGGATCATGATTAGGGCTTTCATTTTATAAAATGGTTTTAAGTAAACACATCATCGATGTCATTGAGCAAGAATATCCTATTATAATTGGTGATATTCCATTGCTAGATATTTTGTACAATCTACGAAGCAAAGGCATAATTTCTGATGAGGAAGTCGATATACTCAAAGTTCGTGACCTGAATAATAAAGCTAGAATCTACGAATTTTTGAAAATTTTGAAAACTAGGCGCGACGACGATTTCTATGAATTCTGTTCCTTACTCAAGGAAAGTCCAGTACGCCATATATCAGAGATTGGCCAAAAATTAGAGATTCAAGTCAAGAATTCGAAAAAAAATGGTAATTCGATCAATATTCAATTGCGATGGAATATGCAGCATTCGTTCTTATAGATTCCGTTCTCATGCTGAGTCTATCAGAGATATTGTATCTAACTCACCTTTATTCACTATAGGATTCTTAGGCACTACTCAGCTGGTGCTAAATGAAGAAACAATTGGTAATTCTATTTGATATAATTTTTGTCTTTAGATTCAAAATAAATTTGAGTTTTATTGAAATATCTTTAAAAATATTCCAATGATATTTAACGGCATATTGTATACAAATTCAGAACATCCAGCAATTCAAATTCAAGGAAATGGAAACCAATGCCAAGCTAAAAAAAGTAATTATGATTGCACTTTAAAAAGAGAAGTTATAAAAGATGCATAGCTTGAACCTTGTTTTAAGAAATCCTTAACTCAGATTTCTCTTAACTTTATTACTAATTATTAAGAATGGAAATTATCTATTAGAATTTAAAACGAAGAAGAACTCTATTGCTTTTCTTTTCATATTCAAAGGGTAGATAATATAAAATTCATTTTTTTACGATTAGAAAAATTGATTTCAAGTCCCATCCGCTCCATAACAAATAAATTGTTCGGCAAAATGGCTTCACCACTTACACCATCGCCTTCAACCGGTATATTTTCTTGTGTTCTAAAGTTTTATTGGATATTGAACTGGCTTTTATTTACAGTATGAGTTCATGCTTCTCTAGCTGTTTCTTAGTTTTGAATTATAGCTACGTAGATTTTTTCCTTTCTTCATTAATATAATGATAAAGCAATTATAGAAACATTAATAAGGATAACTCTAATTTTACTTTATTAGAAATTCCACTTCGAAATCTTCCTCCAACACCAACTAGTCACTATGTTGTCAGAAAAGAAATTATAGATATTATTTGCGATCAATTGAAGATCATCGATAAATCATCTGGACATATATTAGTTCATGGTATGGCTGGCAGCGGTAAAACAATTTCTGTTTGCCAGTCCGTAAAGCAAGCTGCCAATATGGGCTGGTTTAAATCGAATGGTTATTACTGGATAAAAATTGGTAAATTATTAATTATCAATAAATTCTTTTAAAACTGTGATAAAATATCGGCATAATTTCCTTTAAATATTATTTTTAACTATAAATATAGAGAGTATGCAAAAGTAAAATAAATAAATAGAAATCGTTGGTAGTTGAAATTAAAAATTTTCGAATTACATTGCACGACTTATGTATGACGGATAGCTAGATTGGAGGTGATAATTTAGTATTTAAGTCTTAATTTCATTTAATACATGTAGGAAATATCACAAACAGCGAATTATTCAATCAACTCAAGATATTAGGTATTAGCCTTGGGATGGAATGGAAACCATATATTCAATCAGCCGGAGAAATTTGCGCTGGTCTCAGCAATTACTTAAAAGGTTATTATCAGCCTTCATTACGAATAATCTATTTTGAACGTGTTATATGTACCGTGTTCAAATAAAATTTTCATTACCGTCCTACATTTCTTAAAGCAAACAGCCGAATATCCGACACACTTTTCATTTTCGATGATATCTGGATAGAGGATCACTATCAATATTTAACCTTCGCTAAAAAGTCAATTGCCACTTCACGATTTCTATTTTCTGAAATTGAGCTCAATCATTACTGCATCCATTTGCCGGTTCGCTTTCGCTTACTGATATAGTTATTAATTATTTATTGCTATATGATATTATTAAAACAATACGACAGCTGATATTTTAATTAGTAGCATGATCTGTGTACTTTCATTCAAGATTTGTATATGTTATACCTGAAGAGGATTTAGATAAATATGATACAGCTCTAGCCATTCTATCAGTTTTCCTTTCCTTAATTTGCCAATAATTAATTCGCTTTATATGTTATAAGTTATGAATATTGACCACAACTGATATTTTATTCCTTAAAATTTACTATTTGCAGTTTGACTTAATGCTTAATTCTATCATTATTTAGTATCAAACATTTTGTTAACATGAGCATTACTCATTTTATATTCTGCATAAAATATAGGAGAAGTTAACTTATGATGAAGCTATAGAGTTACTAGCGTTACATCGAAATGATCATGACGCTCAGATTCTACGCAATAATGAAGTAGTCAAAAATGTCATAGAGAGTTGTGCAGGCTTACCATTAGCGATCAACTTGATTGGAGGTTTGCAATTGCAGGCAGATGAAGCATGGAAGGAAGCAATGGCTATCATAGCCGATAAATCTATGCAAATTCAATTAGCGAATTACAGTTTTAATTTATACGGAACATTAGAATTAAGTGCTAATTCATTAAAAAACGGGAAAAAAGAATTATTTCAAGATCTAGCTGTATTTAAGCCAGCAGATATTCCTACAGAAGCGATTTCAACCTTATGGAATCTCAGCCATCAGAAAACCAACAGTATCTTAATGGAAATGAATAATAAATCATTATTAAGATACATTACAGGAGCCAGGTGAGTGCAATTTCTATAGTATTGGTTGTTGCATTCATGTTAGAATGAAATGAAATTACTTAAGCCACATTTAAAGGGCTGTCAATATTGCTAATATTTGTAAAAATTTAACATCTCAATACTTCTTAAAACTAATTTAAAGAATTAAAATAATACTTGCAAGTATCCTAAAATCCGTTGCGCAATATTATTTTACTTTCCGTTGGTAAGCTATTGCTTTACTTTATAAGCTTTTTTAATGCATAAGAAGTTCTTAGGAAGCGGTTCTAATATTTTCGAAGGGCTGATACTAAGCATGAAATAAAAGGAAATTTTTACATTTTTTAAATCGATCTTTCCATTCAAATCAAATATCTTTTATTATTAATTGATCGCCACTCTATGCTTATTGTTTCATGAATAAGTGTATACTTTCAATAGTATCCTATAAATGTGGTGAATATTATTAATAAGCGTCACTGTCAACGAATTCAAACGATTTTGATATCTGATACTGTTACTTGTATAGCCTGAACTTCCTTACAATCTCTATATTTGTAGTCTTAATCGATTCCATGTTGTCCATTTTTCAAGGTGTTACTGCAATATACATGACTTAATGATTGACTACCTACACCGAAGAATAAATGCGCAGACATCCAATCAGGATGGTCTTCGAAATCTAAATAACAAATTAATTGATGGTTACCGTACCAAATGTAATGGCGAATGGAGTACCATTCCTGACGATGGATATTTTTATCAAAACATTATTCACCATGCTATTGTAGCTGAAAACGATGAATACCTGGAAAATTTTATGACTGATTTAAATTGGATGACAAGAAAAATTAGATCAGACAAGACAATCTATAAGCTTGCCTGCGATTTAGGAAATTACATCAATTACAAGCAAAAAAAAGAGGTCCTAGTATGTTGTCGAATCAATTAAGTATTTTTATGAAATTATTATCTTGTTATCATTTTCCATTAGCTAGTATAGTAAATGCTACAGGAAAAGCTAATATTTTATCCATTAATTGCAACTATTAGTAAAAGCTAAATAATTTACAGGCAAATTTTTCTGGATATCTAAAGATAATTATAATAAATTTATTGTACGGAATTATTTTCGTATCGATGTGCGAGTGAATAAGATATCTGAAATAAATTTTAGATTCATTGTAAAAGCCCATTAAATTTTCTAGAAATTGATATAATTTGATTGCTACTACATAAATTGCTTTCTAAGCACCAATTTAATGTAGTTTTATACGTTACTAATGTGAGTGTTCTGTTATGTTAAAATTTGAAAACTCAAGAACGGAAAGGATTTTAATGGACTACTTATGTTCCTGAAACAGCAACAAGCGTGGCTGGAGGCAAATGATGCTGATGTAATACAACTTCTTTTATGGTTCGATATGACAGACAGCAGAACGAGGCAAAGAGCTATACAGTTGGCTCGAAGTGCAGGAAATCATAGCAGCAACTTCATTCATTGGACAATAGCATCGTAAGTATTTTAGACCTTATTTTTAAAACTGCTAGACAGAAACTGCATTGTTCAATCTTCAAATTTTGGTTTACTGGACTATCAACAGCTATTCAACTACTGCTACAATCGAATACACTTATGATGCATGTAAAGGATTTGGTAAAAATGAATGGGATGACCATATTTCACTTTCGAGACCTCAATTCGATCATTTACGAATCATTGTTACTGAAAATAATAAGACTCCAGACTGCGAAATTTTGGTACGTTAGTAGGACTGTATACAGCGATTGCATACATTAGCAAAATTAAAATATCGATATGTCCCGTGGTTTCTTTAGAAATAGTAGTACTAAATTATTTCGTAGCTATAAAATTTCAGTTTTTGTGTTGAGATTAAGTTAATGCTAAACTTACTAATAAATTTGTGTTAGTGTACGGAAATGAGTACAATTAATTAAATAGTTACAGATTGTAGCATACGGGTTCTTAACCCTTCTATCACTGTATTGCTTATATAAAACTACAGTAATTAGCTGAAATCACTACACAGCTATAAACCAAAAAAGTCTTACTTTTAATTTCCGAACTTCCGTAAGTGTGCACGCTCACCAGTATAACAAATACTAATATCTGGCATCGTTTTAGTCCGTCAATGAAATAATATGACTCTATAATTATTTTTAAATTAATCGCCGCGATAGATGTTATAGAAACGTTATGCCCATTACAAACATTACCAAATTGAAGCCATTTATTTTTAATGCAGTACTAAATAACATTATAGTAAACGATTTTTACAATCAACAATGGCAACTCATCAATAGGAAATGATGAATTACGAAGGAATCAAGAAGTGTTATTATAATTTTAGACTACTGATATAAAGCACGCCACTGATATGAAATAATTCAAAGACTGTACCATAATTTGCTGAATAATTCTCTTAATAGATCAAAGACTATGAAAGATGCAATATTATAAATCGGATCCGTCCTCCAGAACCTACCATGTGCATTACAAGGATTCAAATTTCAGCAGACGGTTATTCTGCGGCTTTTCAAATTTTCTATGAGGTAATTCATAAGTATACTCAATCTGATTTCATATCCCAGTGACAAAAGCATTTACTTAATGTATAATAGCTAGTATTCGATTATATGAAGGTTGATCTAGTATCTGTTATTCTATGCTTCTAATAAATGGCCGAGATTTGCCGTTAACCTAAATTGATAATTTCACTAATTCTATAAATGTAAATAATAGTAAGCATTCATTTACTCTTAATTTAAAATGCCTTCTTTTATTGCTATAATGGTGCATTCAGTCAATCTGAAAGAGATTAAAATTTGAAATATACTTTATAAACAGCAGTCATTTTTCTCGCGCAGCTTTAAACGAATTTATCCATGCATTTATTTCTTAGGAATGGATTGTCTATAATATTGACAAGAAAGAGCAAATAAACTTCATCAATAGCGATGAACGGGAACAATATCGAAATATATTTTCGTCATTGCAGTTCTGTCCGGTGATAGACAAAAGTTACGTGATCATGACACTTTCCTACGACCATCGCAGAGTTAAAGTAAGCACATTAGTTATCTTGAATTAGATTTATTAGTATAACTCGGAAGACGAATAGATTAAAATCTTTGTTCTATTTAGCAATGATACTTACATGCACCTTTAGATTTGGGAGATTAAAGGCAGTCAAATACTTCCTGCTAACAAAGAAATATCATGCGATTATGAGATACATACTTGCCGATGGATAATGGCGCAAAACACTAGCCAAATCTTATTATGGTGGAGAAAATATAATCGGTTCTATCAAGAAAGTAAACTTACGGAATCAGAAAAGTACATGAATAAATGTCAAGTTGAAGTAAGTTACAGCAGTATTTATCAAATGCAATGTGGACGCAATTTATACAATATGTTTAATAGATATTGAATATTTTTCGGTATATAAATTAATTCAATGTATAGATCTGGAGTTTGGATCCATGGTTATGCCAGATGTCAGTAACCTTGCCGACCATCGTCTACAATAAAACTACTTCTGATAATTATCTTGCTACAGCTGATATTGAAAATGGGCTGGCATTGCAATACATTAACTACATTAATAATAATGGTGCATTTATAATTTTGGTGTACTCCTTCGATGGAAAATACTCTAATTATAGTAGTGTAGTCGGCTTATTAAAAGTAGAAGACATTCTCGATGTCAATACCTACATCAATGAATTTTCAAAACATTTTCAGCCAATATTTTACCCTACTGAATGTATTAGAAATATCTTTGTATCAGATAATCAGCAATTCATCGCTATCAGTGATAAAAATACCGATGGGGTTAGTTTATGACTCTGTTATTCCCTTAATCGCTAATCTTTGTAAAATAGAGCAGTGGTATTTACCGTCAGATGCATACGTATTGGTCATCGCACAACTAAAATTCGTTAACATGCATAGGTGATCGTTCTCGCTGTTACGAAGGGTCGCGTCCAATCTTATGCAATACTAAATCCATCAGACTATAATCAAGCTACATTTATCCCTGGTACAAGTCGATTACTTGTTTATGACTGCCGAATAAAGCAGAGAATATATGAGTATAACTTACAAGGTACGTTATTACGATATCAGTGTATGTGTAGGCAAAATGAAATTTTTAATTATAGTCACACCACCTTCATTCTTTGTCATTGGGTGGACCAAGGCCATAACATTCACTGGCAAGATATAGGTTTCGCTAAAAGAGTTGAGAAATATGGCGACTTAAGTCATCGCCCAAAGAATAACGTAAAGATAATAGACTTAAGTATGGCTCACATTAACAACATTGCAGTTGCAGCTATGTTGACTAAGGATGACAGTGATAAATGCAAACTGCAGGTATATACATATTATCACCCTATAAACTATACAGTCTTATCACATTATATTTTTCTTATTCAACAATATTTGATACAATTTAATTTTTTTCTAAACATGAGTAGGTATACGATTATGAAGTAAAGAAGCGCAGAAGGAAGCTTCTGTACTCTATGAAGAACGACTATCAACGGTGTTTTTTATACGATGATTTTCAATCGGCTATCGTTATATGCTTTAAAGGTGATGAATCCAAGACTATTATCACGGAGGTAAATTCGACATTCGAAATATTATACCGATTATAGAGCATAGCCAATATACTGATTATAACTATGCAGAGTAATTGGTCAGTGATTTCTATGTTAGTCTACGAGCTCTACGTTACTGCTCTGCAGAGTGTTAATTTAATACAAACACAATCAATATTTGATAGATAGATAACTTTCTAAGAATGGAAGATGGTCCGTTGCACAGGGAATTGCTAAATTACAGTCGACCACAATGTACCAATCTACTTGGAATAGAATCGAGATATAGAAATATAGATAATACACTAATTTTTGTCATAGAATTTGAGGTATGCTACCGCTGATGATATTTTATAAGCTCTGTTATATCTTCCTCATTAAAATGAAATACGAAGCTAAGAATTTTATGAATCATATACTTAATTATTTCTACTAGAATGATGACGGTTACAAGTCTATGATAATAATATCGATAGACCTCGCAACTGCAGATAACTTGATTTATAAATCAGCCTGGAAACCTGAGAGCCCAAGAAAAATTTACATGGATGATAATTATCTTTATCTATGGCAGACAGAAAAACATCATGACGATGATAGATATATTGACAGCATTAAGGTAATCAAAATTATTTCTGGAGCGATATCATATTATAATCAAGGTTCTGTTCAATTCATGTAACAAACGACTTCTCGACTAAATGCGATATTCAATTTCTGATTTAAATTTTCTTGTAGCATAGTAGCTTATATTAATCTTTCGCATCTTTATTGTCTTATCTGATACTAACAAGTACAAATACATTTCATTAATAAATTCTGTATCTAAATAAATTTACTTTTAGTGCTACAAATTTGGAGGCAATAAACAGCAAACCCAATTACTACAAATGGATCTATTTGATAAGAAGAAAGGATTAATATGTAAAGTAAATATAAATGCTAATGGAAACGGTAGAGATCCTTTGATTAAATATTCGCCGAAATATAAGGAGGAAGATTTCTTCATTGCAATTTGGGGAGAAAAAGATACCAACCTAATTGTATGTCTTATTTGAAACATTTACAGACCTAGATAAATATCATTATAGACTTGATTTGAAGAATGATATTATTCAATTGATAAATTGTTCTATGGAATTGTTTATTTCGTCAATAATTAACTGTGCTTTGAATTTTAAAAACTTGAAGCGAAACTACTTGGATAATGACAATATCATCTTTCTATTAGAAAAAGGACATCATTTAGCTGTAAGAAATAAAAATAATTTGATATTCGTCTTTAACTTTATTGTCTTATGATGTGTTGTTGATAAACCGCAATTATATGCCTATAGATATTTAATAAGGAATCAAGGATATTGCTGAAAAGATACAAAGACAAATTTAAAAAATTCGATTTTGAAGCTTATACCTTCAATGAAAGAAATTTATGGTCGGAACAGCTTTTCCTAGTGTATAACGTAAATCTTTCAAGTCTGCATATTTATAATGCTAAAACATTGCAACTTCTAAAGAATCTGCCATTTCCACACTTCAAAATACGTGATATGAAGTGGAATCATCAGCAGTCCTCGTTCTTCGTTAGCAATCGACGCAATAAATATTGCTTAATCAAGCAGGTTTCAAGCTATAAATAACAGGATTAGCGTTTTATAATGCTCTTATCCGCAGAATGAATTGAAAGAGTATGAAATAATGTTTACTCTTATAAGTTACATATATTGGCTATAATTTAATTTATCTATGCTATATAATTGTGTATGCTAGGACTAGATTTCATATTTTTCTGATTCGTAGTAAATGCAATCCTGGGTATTCTGTGTTAATATTAGTTTTCTGTTATCGTTCTATTGCTATATATTATACTTTACCTATAGGATGATTGAGACCTGGAATTTTATCCGTTTTAGCTAAATATTAAAGATCTTTCAAAAGTAAAAGTCAATTTAATCATATAGTTGAAGTATGATTACAACTGTGCCGTTCACTATATAGCATACGTATGTGTACAAATTTTAGTAGTTATTAGGGTATCAATACCATATTTCTGTAATATGAGTCAGTATTAATACTTTACTTTAAATCACTTCACATTTAGTAATTAAAGTACTTTTGCTAGAAAATCACTATAGTAACTGCGCACACTTACGATAACTTCGCTGTAATAGAGAGAGAAAAAATTAAAGTGGAAGAAGCTTCACATATACATTAGTGAGAATAGAAGATCTGGATTATATCTAAAAGGGTTCGCGTTACTCAGAATTGATGATATTTTTCCCCATCATTTCTTATTTTGAAAAGGGGTATACATTAAAGTGAGATACTGCTCATTATTTCTGCTAACTTTAGCTTGCTCTAATCCGTAACCAGAATAAGATTTAACCTAAATTAGTTAAAAAAAAAAATCGTTTTAGCAGATGGCTAGGTAAGGTGTCTAAGCCTACTTTACGGATGCATTTTTTGGTATGAAAAGTATTTTTATAATGCAAATTGCGTCAAAGTTTTAATATATAAAAAGAAGCGAAGAAATGATGATAATACTTTGTAAGGGAGGG